GTAGTGAGGGCTATTACTCAGAAAATTATTTATCTGGGAAGTATTTCTCTTTACCTATTGCTATGCTTAGCTATTTTGTCTCAGATTAATGTCAGTTAGTGATTTAATTGCTCTTTTCATTATGATGTTGAGAAAACTGATGATGGTGTTCACATTTCCTTGAACAAGGTAGAAGAGCAGCTACATCAGCATGACCTGTCTCTCTTGGCCAGGCCTCACCAGTGAATTTAACCTCTTGAGGACAGACAAGAGCTTGTGCTAGAACAGCGAAAGCTGGTAGCTTTATGTTTAAAAGGTGTTGGTGGTATCTATGTGCTGTGAATGGTCATGATGCAGTGAGCAGACTTATTTTATGTAGTGCTGGTGAAACTCCTTGTGTCTAAGAGGTTACTGGGTAATTCAGGGGGAGCAACTGGCACTATTCTTCATATAGTCCAAGAACCCCATTCAAGAAATTCTACTCTCTTCTGCTATGGAAAAACTCACTATGGTAGATATCTATAAGCAAGACATCTCCTGTATTCTGGATCTTGCTTATCCAAAATTTAAGTATGCATGGGTTCCCATAAAGGTTCTGTGCTTTGGCTAGTTTCTACTACTCCTGTTCAAATGGAAGCTGACAGCTTTTTTTTCTGACTGACAGGAAAAGAATGAGTTAATTGCTTTCTGAGAATGAGATTGTCACATTAACTGTGTCATTAGCTGTCACAGCAAGCTGTATTAACAAGAAGTACAATACAACCCCGTTCTTCTTCTGAATAGTTTTATAGATAGGAAAATGTGGTGCAGCAGAAATTTCAGCCCCATTTTACACACTTCTCAGCTAGTTATTTGCAGAAATGAAAATGGAAATCTGGATAAATGTGCAAGGCCCACTGGAAAATCTACTTGTACTGCAGATCATGGCAGAAAAATACTGTTGTCTATATTTTAAGAAATGCTTATGTGTCTTATCTGACTCAACTGCTTTTATGAGACAGATTCACCTGTCATTTAGACTTCTGTTGCCATTGTCTTCTTCTCACAAAAGAGAAAAAAAAGCATTACCCAAATAATTGTTTTAGAATGTTTGCAGAGACATTAAATCAAAGATTTAGGACGCAGATTCTCATAGGAGTGAAGGAACAGCTTTCATAATTCAGTATGCTGTAATTAGAGACTGCAGTCACAAAGATCTTTGGTCAGAGGTCTGCATGTAGACCCCACTGCAAATTTGGGTGCACATCAATGCATGCATTGTAATGTACTCAGAAAACAAACCGTTGCACAATCTTTTAGTAACACTCATTGAGACTGTGGAAGGACAAAAGGAATAGCAGAAAGGCAAGAGGCAAAGATCACATATGCTCATACACATATAGGAGCCTCTCCTAGGAAGAAAGGTTGAGGGAACCGGGCTTGTTCAGCTTTGAGAAGAGAAGGCTCCATGGAGACCTCATTGTGGACTTCCAATATTTGAAGGGAGCGTATAAACAGGAGGGGGAATGGCTGTTTATGAGGGTGGATTCTGATAGGACAAGGGGGAATGGTTTTAAATTAAGACGGGAGATTTACGGGACAGATTTAGGGTTTTAAACTAAGATGGGGGAGGTTGAGGTTAGATATTAGGAGGAAGTTTTTCACTCAGAGGGTGGTGATGCACTGGAACAGGTTGCCCAAGGAGGCTGTGGATGCCCCATCCCTGGAGGCATTCAAGGCCAGGCTGGATGTGGTTCTGGGCAGCCTGGTCTGGTGTTTGGTGACCCTGCACACAGCAGGGGGTTGAAACTAGATGATCATTGTGGCCCTTTTCAACCCAGGCCATTCTATGATTCATACACATAAAGACATTGATATCTATGAGAATGTTTAGCACTGACAATCTTCATACAAGGGTATGCCAGACTTCTCCCTGGGGAAGCAGCAGAGTGCAGTGCTTTTTACAAAACATTTAGCACAGTGATGTTCTTTTGCGATGACCTGTTAACTCTGAGAGATTTCATTGTGTGCTTTCAGCAGGGCTTACAGTAAATGCTCAATTTAGGTAAAGTCACGATCTAATTAAACAAATTCACTCTGTATCCCTGCTGGGCTGTTCAAGATTTGTCTGTCAAATATCTCTAAGCAATTTTGTTTTCTATAGCAACAGTTAATTGGATATGTAACTGTCAGTGTGCTTTAAATGAGGCTGATGGGATTAGTAATTGAATGCTTGGATTAATGACTTACAGCTGGCTTTGCTATGCTGTTTGTTGTTTACAGCAGGGTTCAGGATATCTCCCCAGCCTGAGCAGGCAGGGGGAGTAGTGGACTGTAACTGCAATACACCTGTGATACAGTGTTCTTTTCCCCAGGCTGAACAGCCTCAGCTTAGCCTTTCCTCATAGAGGAGATGCTCCAGGCCTTTTATGATCTTTGTGACCCTCCACTTGACTCCTTCTAGGAGATCCCTGTCTTTTTTTGATAATACTTAATAGTTTAATAATAACTATTTCAGTATATCAAATTAGAACATACTTGTGTTCTTACGATTATTGTATCTGGGGAACCATTTTCTGAAACAGTGAACATTTATGTTTTAATTTCTTGTATTTATGAAATGCTTATAAACAATTATAAAGTATTATAATCATACCTACAAATAATTACGAAGTAATTTTTGTAATAACATTTTAATAGCTATTTACTGTATATTGTACTACATATTAAATATAGTTTAACAGTAAATATATAGAAAATTCAAAGTTGTGCTTTGCATGTTTCATCTAATAGAATCTGCCAGGCTCATCTGAGAATGCACAAAGTAAGATGTGGGAATAGCACAGTGACCTTTCCTCATTGTCTCAAGATTTCAGCTTAAGCTTTAAGGCAGAGCTCTAGCTGCATGCAGTGTTGCAGTCAGAAACCATTCTGCGCATTAGCTTCTCTCTCACTCATGATCTACCCCTCTATGTGAATTCCATTTGATTCAGGAAATCCTTTTTTGCATCCTTGCTCTAGTTAGTACCTATTAAAAAGCCCAACTCATCCTTGCTCCACCTCAACTAGGCTATCTTTTTCTTTCAATTTCTTCCTAATGCAGAAGCATTAAGCCCTTTGGCAGGACTGGATCCTTCCACACATTGTTATTCATATTCAGTTTTTGTTATACTTAGTATTCAGACCAGTGATGTTATGTGTGGCTTAACTCTGTATACTGACTGCCATGTAAAGATGCCGGGAACAGTGATAAAAGCCAGGGAGAGGGAAGGTAGAATCTGGTTTTTGGTCTCAGGGTGACATTTCTTCCTTGAGAATATCCTCGTAATTAATGTTCTTTCCAGATACCAGGCTTTCCTCTTTTCTACTTTCATTTCAGTAAAGCTATACAGCTGTTTCAATAATCATTTGGAGAACTGACAATCCCGGGGATGTTCTATGAGAGGAAAATTATGGGATCCTTACAGAACACGGACCAAGAGTGAGATGCTCTCACACCTGTATCCAGTTAGGTGTACTTAATGTACTTTCTTACTATGTAAAATAAGAGGAAACAAAATACTTCATTCTGCAAGGTACATGCTAGATCACTTCAATTTTGGGAGTTTCATTCCTCCTTAAATCATAAAATTGTTAACTAAGAGGGATGGGTGACAACAGCTGGTAAACCTTTGGCCACTGCCAAATCAGTGCAACAGTTTCAATTACATTACAGTGCTCATTTCAATTAAAAGACTGGCATGAGCCTCTCTTAAACTAAATTGGGAGTGAGCTCTAGGGAGAAGTGAATAAATGTTGGAATATAAGAGAGAAACTGCATTGTGATTTTAGTTCTTTATGGAGCGTGATTTTCAAGCTCACCTGTTGCTGCATGCCCCTCACAGCCTGGCTTGCATTGTGGCACAGCCTGAAGTCCTTCTGGACGAAACCCTACAAGGCGATGTGTTCCAGGAGCCCATTCCACATTCTTCACCTGCGAGTGGGCAGGATTTTGGCTGCTTCAGAGAATGCCCTGAAGGCCAAGCCAAAAGTTATCACAACTATTAGGCTTATAAGTGTGTATTTGGACACTTCACTCAGACTAATGTTTAAAAGTACTGAGTACCTAGAAAACCCTGCTGTCTTGAAGTTAAAGTCAGACCTTTAAGCTGCTTCCTATGCCAGTAAGAATTACTGTGCAAATCTAAGGTACAGATACCAAGCCCTGAGACAGGGGTGGTTTTAGACATCTAGCTCCCACAGGTTATTTCAATAGTAGTCAGATATTTAAACAGCTTTGAGAATTTTGTCTATATAAATGTTAAGTGTAAGACCAGTGGTTTTAAATGTCTTGACCGTATGGCCTGAAATTACTGTCAAGTAATAAGGATAAGGAGATTTTTATCATACTAATGTGTGGGAGGTAACGAGCAGCCGTAGGTGGGGGAAAAGTGCTGACACCTGATCTAGGAAGCTAAGAGAATAGTCAGGCAGAAATATACAAGGAAGCATAAATGGGGGTGGGAGCTGCCCTTCACTGCAAATGCTGGAAGACTGGTGATGGGCTTCCCATCTATTCTCATACATACTTACACTGCCTTCATTTGAAATAGGCAAGACTGACCAGCAATTTCCCATATTTCAGTAATGTAAAAGTGCTTTATACCAGCTGAGGAATCAAACAGAAAACTGCTCCATAGGAAATCATTTATCAGGTGCTCTGTAAATTCAGAATTTCGATTTTTTTAAATGAAATTTTTGGTCATGTTTATTGTGCACCAATTCACTTACTGGTGATTGAGTCAGTGTCTGTAACTTAAAGGCCAAACACACAATCTTACATGGGATGAATGCAACAGCAGTCACTAAACAATTGTGGCACTGTGTTGTGAACTAGAGAAATGTTTTTAGAGCTTTAAGTCAAACATGTTTATGAACTGTTTTCACGTGAAATGGTTAAGGACAGTGAATTCAGCTAATTGGTTAGAATGAGAGCAGATAGAGAAAATACAATAATATCCTCTTTAGAGCATATATTTATTATTCTGGTATTCTAAGTCGTTGAGAAAACTAAAAACAAAAATTCATTTCAGGTGTTGTGTGTGCAGTACAAATTCTGTAATTACAGAACAGTTTGGAGTTACTACGCTTACCATTAAGAAAAAAATGATATGTTTGATTAAATAACAGAGAAAAAAGCATTTCAGAATTGATGCAATTAGGATGAAGAATTTATTGTATATACGGTAAAGCAATTCTACTGTAGACGTACTTCCTGTTCAAAGAAAATTAATACAGTAATCAAAATCATTTTAGCATGGAAACTACAGCACAGACCAAAACTTGACTAAACCAGGAATTAGTTATTTGACTTGAAAGAACACAGGACCTGGAACAATAGATCACAGGTTGCATCATTAACCAGGACGGTAAAAAAACTGTACAATACAAGCACACATTACAATAAGTTATGACCAATAAGGCAGTCTCTCTCATTTAGGACAAAAGGGATAAAGGGAAAGGTATTAAAATCTCATAAATCCACCATATCTCTTTTCCATCTCTGGGACCTCTTTGGAATAAGTTTCCCCATCTTCTTCTGAAGGGAGAATGGAATCAGCGAAGCGCTTGAGAAAGCCGCCGTACCGTTTCTGGTAATCCAGCCACCACTCTGGCCTGCCCACTCTTCTCATGAAACCACCGTATCTCTTTTGCAGCTCTTTGGCTTCATCCTCCAGTTCTGGACTGCGCTTTATGCTTCTCATGAAACCGCCGTATCTTTTGCTGACGTCTCCATCATTTTCATTTATTCCTCGGTAATGCGCCGCTTCAGGGTTATCCCCTGCTCCTAAAAGCTCCTTCAGCAGATCAGAGGAATTAGCCAGGGCATCATCATCTGAGTCCTTCTTCATGAACCCTCCGTACCTCTTAGCCAGGATCTCTCCTCCATTAGCTTCATCCTCTGACTCTGGGTGGTAGAGCTCATCCATTTTCTTCATGAAACCCCCGTATCTCTTCATGAAGCCCCCATATTTCTTGGCAAGCAGATGGTTCTCATCCAGCTCTTTTTTGTCTCCTGGAGCAGCGTTTCCATCCTCAGACAGGTCCAGTTTTGTCAGCTGCAGCAGTTCCTTGCAGGTCTCCCAGGCCTTGGCAGAAGGCAGCTTTCCTTCACATTCTAGTGTACATGCCTGTAAAACGGATGTGGTTTACTGAGGGTGATTTGATAGTAACAAACCTTGTCTTAGCTCCTCTTCTTTTTAAAAGACCACAAGGGAGCTTCTCTGAAGAGAAGCTGAGTGCCTTGGAAAGACTACTCTTTGTGCCTAAAGTTTTTCATATCCTTTTGTGAAGGAACTGGCAATACCTACTTAAGGGAGGGAATAAAGCTGGGCTATTGCTCCTGAATTCCAAGGCCATCTCTAGGATTCTGTATCAAAGACAGCCCTTGCCTCTCCATTACCAGGGTGAATTTTTATGAGCTACTGTGTTTAATAGTGGGAATTTATAAACCAGTTGTGGTTCACTGCATAATGAATGTGCATCATTAAAAGTAACACTCAGTTATGTTACAAAAGAAGCAGAGGAGTGGAACTAGATGACCCTTAAAGATCTTTTCCAACTCAAATGATTCTGTGAAGCTTTGAGGTTGTGGAAGCACTCAAGGCCAGGCTGGATGGGGCTTTGGGCAACTTGGTCTAGAGGGAGGTGTCCCTGCTTATAGCAGAGGGTTGAAACGAGATGATTTTAAAGGTCCCTTCCAACCCAAACCATTTTATGATTCTATGATACTTGGAATAAATCAAATAGCATCACTGTTGCAAAGAGGCCAGCTGAATCACACTGTTCTGCACCTTCAATGCAGTGCATGGCTCTAAAGGCTGTATTTTTGTATAATACAATTTGTTAATTTATGGAGCATATCTTTCATATGTGTGCCAATTCTAATGAAGAACTACAGACTTTCTTAGGCAGAATCAAGCATCTGGTTTTGCTGGCTTGACTTAGAAGGCAGTGATCATCAGAAAGGGGAAAAACATCCTGAGCTGTGTTTGACTGTAAAGAACATTTTTCAGGGCAAGAGTTATCAAAGTTTTCAGCACTTGCACGCATCTCAGGTAACCAGTTAATAGTAACATACATATTAGTTCCCATCTCTGTTGTGTTGGGGAGTTTACTTGTGAGACCAAACTCTTCAGCTGCAAAAAGAAGAAATCATCAAGTTTTTCAGTACTGGAAACAGTTATTTTGTCTGGATGATGTTCTCTAAGGATCTCAAACTGTTTGAAAAGTGTGAAACTAAATATCAGCACAGTTTTCTCTTAACATCTTTCTGACCAACTCACTACCTCTGATCTTACCTGTCTACTGAGCTCACTTTTATCCTGAGAACTTGGCACACAATTTTTGATATGATTACAAGAAAATGAAATGGACTTCTGTACTTTGCATCACAGTGATTTATTTTATCACACACTCCATGCTTATTTCTATATGCTATACTTGTGCAATAGGGCGAATGTGATCTCAGCTTCAGCCTGGCTTTGAAATTGATTTAAATCAAAGCAAGAATAAATCAGTTCTTCCCTTCTCAATAAGTTTAAACAGCCTATTGCCAAATGAACGTGTATAAATGACCAGGTTATATCTTACAGATACAACATGATAAAATCAGTTCTGATGTTACCAGACACCAGTATCCAGAAACATTTGCCTCCAGAAACTGTACCTGGATAAGAAATACATGTTATGGCACGTTGCTTCTTTTCCCATTTAAACTAATAAGTGTTGCTAATGGGTGGAAATGTAATTCTTGAATAACTGCTGAAAGTATGCAAAGGAGAATGCCTACACTACATAGACACCCATAACAAACACACAGCCCTCCTTCCAAAAGGGCAAGCTGCCACTTCTTTCTGGTTAGCATTAAAGTCGAAGCTTCATTGAAATCTGGAACATTTGAATGCAGACCAATATATACAATGTAAACAGAACTTCTTCAGAACCATCCTAATACTATAAACTCACTGTGGTTACCAGCGAGTCCTTCCTTTCAGAGCAAGCACTTCAAGTAGAAGCGCCCAGTGCTCCAAACTCTGCACAGAACAGCCCCAGTCCTTTCTTTTTACTCCCAAACAACCTGTGAGAGCTTAAGACGAAAACTTTCCTGAGCGCTGAGAGGTGCTGAGAGTGCGGCAATCTGCGGCCGGGAGCTGCGGTACCACCGGCACCGGACTCCGGTCCGCCTGTGCTTACATTGCAAGTTGTGCTGTATCTCTGACTGCATTATCGAATAATTTCAACGTCATGAAATAATAATAATAAAAACATTCTGGAGCTTTGTAACGTGATTTACCTCTGGAGGAGCTGAAATGTCAGAGGGATGATTACGGGCACGCTGCTAATTCCATCACCAGCGCAATAAGAGACAGCGATGCTCCGGGCGGACTCGGAGTTCGCCGCGAGACCCTTCAGCCCCAACTCGGTTCTTCCCCCGCTGCCCGAGGCTGCCCGGCGAGGGGATCCTGCGCTGTTTCCTTCCAACCCAACTCCGCTGTCCCCCTCGCCCCGTCCCGCTCCGTTCCCTACCCCATCCCCTGCCCTCGTCCCGTCCCGCCCGGCCGCTTACCAGCGGGTGGATGTCGGCGCGGGGCCCCAGGCGGTAGGCGCAGGCCGCGCAGTCCCGCCCGCAGTCCGCCCGCGCCCGCGGCAGCAGGCAGGTGCTGAGCGCCAGCAGCGAGCAGCCGAGCCGCAGCAGCAACGCCATGGGGCTGCAAGAAGGAGAGGTCAGACGGTGGCCGCGGCACCCTGGCACCCCCCCCCCCCTTCCCCTCCCCGGGGCTGGAAAAAGCTCGGCCGACGCTTTTTCAACCGCATTCCGCGTGCAACTCTCGCAAGAGCAAGAACGGCTGCCGTCCAAGAAAGCGCTCGTCCCAAAATCCTCACCGCACCCCCCCCAAAGCCCGAGCCTCGGCTCCCGCCTGAGCCCGGCGCTGCATCCCCGGCAGAGCCGCCCCGACGGCGCGGGGCACTCACACAGCGCTCCCCTCGGGACTCGCGGCGGTCGCTGGGCAGCGCCTCGCTGCTGGAGCCTCGGCGTCGAGCCGCGGGTGTTTGTAGCGGGGCTGAGCGGCCAGCGCCTCCGGAGCAACTCCAGAGGGGGGAGGGACGGACAGCCCGCGGCTTCTACCGGCCGAACCGAGCCGCGCCGAGCCGAGCGGAGCGGGTGCGATGTGTGAGGAGCGGGCACTTTATAATTAGGGAACGCGGGCAGAGCGCGGTCTCCCCCAATCGCCGCCGGGCTCCCGCTGACGCAGCACCTACGACATCCCCCTCGACCCCCCCAGTACCGCTGCTCCCCTTTACGGGTGGCTCTGGCGGGGTGGGCGAGAGCCCCGGCCGTCGGGACAGGGGGCTCCGGCGGAAGCGTGCAGCGTCGGCGTGAGTCAGGGGCAGCGTGGTACTGCGGAGCAATTTAAAAAGTTTTTTTTTTTTTTTTTTTTTTTTTTTTTTTTCTCCTGGAGTTTCTATGTGTGACCATTTTCCTTCCCAGCCCTCTTTCTGCCAAAGCAAACAAGTGCTGCTCTGCAGCTCTCTGCCTCGAGGTAGATCCTCGCAGTGGAAAACGTTCTCTGCATTTGCTGCCCTTTGAGTTCATCATTTCTGGGCTTAAATGAAGGGACTTTACACAGTCTGCTGAATGAAATTCCATAAGGGTACCCTTCTCCCAGGGGAAGAGGGAGATTTAGAGTGGGTATAGGAGAGATTTAGGCTGGATATAAGGAAGATTTTTTATGCTAAGGTTAGTGAGGCACTGGAACAGGTTTCCCAGAGATGTGGTGGATGACCCATCATCCCTGGAGACATTCAAGGCCGGGCTGGATGGGGCTCTGAGCAACGTGATGTAGCTGTAGGTGTCCCTGCTCATTGCAGGAGAGTTGGAGCACGTGACCTTTAAGGGTTCTCTCCAGCTCAATAAGAGGAAGACACTTCAGTTTGTGCCTCCCCAGGTCTGAAGCACAGCCAGGCCCTTGTCCTTCAGGACCAACACGGACCCCAGTGCTGTCACTGTATGGAAGTGGTGCTTTCTGCCACCTTGGCCTGTCCATCAGATACTCAGATTAAGGAGGCTCAAGTGCATTCTGGGAGCGGCAGAAGTATATCAAAGACAGCTCTTGTATAAAATCACTGTATATGAAAAGAAAACCAGTCTCTCTATTCCTCAGTAGTCTCAGCCAGACTTGGTTAGTGAACCCTCAAGAGATGGGGTAGCCTTTTAACAACCACTGCATGTGTGTACTTGTTTCAGCACTTGGAATAACAGACTAATTGCTGTGCCACTGAGTCAGCGTGTGTGCTGCAGGGCTTTGGGCAGGTACACTGTGGCCTCCTGGCTCTGCCCTGGTAGCATGGCTGGGGAGGCTCTGACTAACTCCAGAGGTGACACATTCACTGCCTCTTTTGCTGTTAGGATGCTCTTTAAAAATAGACTTTTTTTCCCCCAGGTTTTGGACATATCAGATGAATCCTCTGGGTCAAGTACTGACCCTCCCTTTCTGACCATCAGTTCTGTCATCATCTATTGGCTTGTGCTCTAACAGCATGCTGTGGTGGGACAGATAGCTCACTAGGATCATGATTATTCTCCTTCCCACGTTCTGGGGCTGACTGGTTCCTACTGCCACAGTTCTGCATGCAGGCATCTGTACTCAGCCTGCCCACTCAGCTGCTACGTCTGCATCCTCATTTGCTACACTTTTAATGTCACAAATGTATGCAGTCTGGTTGCGACGAAAGCCAGCCAGGGCTGGCATCTCATAGTGCACAGAGAGGCAGATAAGTCCTGCAGATAGTGTTCAGACCTCAAGAGCAGAAGAGATGTGATGAGGAAGGAGTAAGGAATATACATTGTCTGAGAAAAAGGCAGGTAGATGTCCCTGTTCATTGCAGGGGAGTTGCGTAGAGGACCTCAAAAGATCCCTTCTACCTCAAATGGTTCTATGATTCTATAATTCTGTACCCAGTGCTCTTTGGTTCATCTGCTTGTCTCTTTACTCTGCTGGTGGAGTCTTTGCTGCTCCTCATCCTGAGTCCTTATGGGTGGGGTTGTGCATGAGTCCTCTTTGCAGAGGGAGGATGAAAGCAGGAGAGAATTTGAACTGTTTGGACAAAAGAAAACCGAGCAAAAGCTCCATAAAAATTACTTATTATAGGAGTGGGGAATAATATTTCCTCAGCAACAGAGGTCTGAGGAACAAAGAAATAAAGAGGCATAAAGAGGAAGGGAGCACTTTTCACAGCAGTAACGATGATAACTTGTTGCTCCCTGCTAACTGGGTAATAACAGAGTCCTGCTGCTGATAAAAGCTTTGGCTTTTATAACATCCAGAACTGCCTCAGACACCAACTGCTTTTTATCTGTCATCTAAATATACCACACAAAGGCAAAATGTTTGTGCTGCAGTAGTTCTTGAGGCCCCAAGGGCTCCGTCGTCCTAAGGCTTGTCCAGACAGCAGACTTCAGCTAGGAAGAGAGGAAGGGAAGATGAAATCCTAATCTTAATGGCAGAGAACTGAGGAACATAATTTGAATGACTTTACAAAACTATGCCAAAAGTGAGCAGCAGAGTTAGAAATTGGAACTCTTGAATTTCACGTTGGTATCTTTACTGTGGGAACAGCTTTCCTTCCCAAACTATACTCATTGTGCTAATTGAGCTGCTTCAAAATCACTGAGTGAAGATAGATTTATGGAGATAGGAGCGAGCAAACTGCTAGCGCCCCAAGCAGCCCTCCATGTAACACAGAGCCCCTCTGATAGAGTCAAAATGAGGACTGGTGAACATAAACCAGCATGCTATGTTGATTATTTTCTTCAGCTCGGTGCAAAAGGTCACAGTGTTTCTTAAGACCAAACAGTCAGGTTCCGTTTAGTTCATTTAAATCAGCTTTGTTTATAATGGGAAAATGGATAACTGATATCAGAGTTGAGAAAGGCATTGCAGGACAACTCTCCTATACCAAACAAGCATCACCAAGGTAGTTTACAGAGCAGAGTTATTAATATATAGAGGTAAGGCATGCACTGATACTTTTGCAATATCATTATTAAAGCATATCTAAATTAAGAAGTGAGGAATTGTAATGCAGAGATATTCAATATACAGTCAGAATGGCATTGCCCAAATTATGCACCTTGATAGGACTGAGATGATCCAGCACTTTCCATACCTCTCTGTATAACTTAATAAACAAGTACGTGTATCACCTGAGACATGCAGAAATAGGGAAGATATCAGTGATGCAGACAAAAACATAGAATAGAATCATAGATTGTTAAGGTTGGAAAAGACCAAGAAGACCATCAAGTCCAACCACCAACCCAACACCAGCACACCCACTAAACCAATTCTGCTATAGCTATTCAAGTTAATCTTCTATGAAGAGCTGGGTTGCTGCTTTACCCTGGACAGGGCTGGATCTTTTTAGTAATGTTTTCACCACTGAAAAAATGAAACCTTCCTTAGAAGGCAAACACACACACTGGTCTAGTTGCAGTGAGGTGCTTTTGCTGAAGTAGTGTGGACAGTTTCTGGCCCTTTCTCCTGGCTGATGATACTCAGTTTTCTAAGGGGGAAGGAGGTTTCACACTACTTTTATCAGAGTGAAATGAACATGACATGCATTCACTGGAAGCATCCAGCAAATACAACTTTTGCTGCATTTGTTTACCTGCAGTGCTGTAAGACGAGGAAAGAACAAAGCAGAGACTTCTATACTGTTCAGTGGAGTCATACAGAGGTTTGCTTTCTAATGTTTCTCATGGGCACATTGAGTTTGTGCACTCACAGATTCCTGAATTTGGCCTGAACTGCAGTAAGTAGCATGTGCTGCAGAGTGAGCAGAACAAACTGTGCAAAATCTGTATTGTTAGAAAGGCATTATGCTGCTCATTTCCACAGAGACCAGGGGAAAGGGATTTGCAATAAAGAAGGAAGATTGTGCTCAGTAGCAAAATATATCGTGATGGAATCCAGGCACAGTGATTATTACTTAAAACAATAAGAACTCCACATGAGTGGAGCGATTTATCCTCATTTTTTTAATTAAGAAAACACACCCCTGAATTACTGAGGAAGGATTAGATTCCATCTATGGGAAGGATTACAGTGCCTGATGCATATGTGGAAGGATTAGGTGCAATTGTAGAAAGGATTTTGATCACTTCGGTAATATTAAGAAAAACAGATTCTAAATAATGTATCAGGAGTGTGAGCTTGAGCTATT